CTGTAAATTAGGAATATTACCAGCGGGTTGTTATAAGGATCAAATAATATAACATCATGTACCTATAAAAGGTTGTACCATGTGAAGTCTTTTGATCAAGGGTCAGAGTCAGCAGGTGAATCCAAGAGGTCAAATTCAGGTATCCAGTGCTCTTGTTTCTGTACCACACTGCTTCTGCTTTGCCCTGTTTCTGGACACTACCTCACTCAAGATCCTTTTCCGGTGTCAGTCCCTGTTCCCTTGCCAGCCCGGAAGCTACTCTGTCCCTCCCAGCTTCTTTGAGGGCTGATTTACTGATTGCCGGTTGATAACCCCTCCCTAGAGAGCTGCCCGGAGCCAGCTATACTTCCAGTCTCTTGGGCCTTGTGACTGCCGGCCAGAGTTCCCTCCTTGCCTTCCTGCCTGGGCCAGCCCAGTGTTGGGCTTGTAGGGGAAGAGTTCCCAGTCACACTACCACACCCACTCCTCTGCTCTGTGTGGGACTGAAGATTTACAAGCCCAAGAGGCCTGATCTCAAAATGCCAGGGTCTCCCAGATAATCCTGTGGACACAAGTGATGGCCCTTTCCCCCCACCCAAAAAAACCTGGTTGTTTCTTTCCCCAGGGAAGGCATCACAGAATTCTGAGAATGAATGTGCCCTAACTTGCCCCAATAGCCCAGGCGTTATGCATTTGCTGACTCAGTCCTCCCACCCCCACCCTGTGCTCCTGGGGGCCTTTCATATGCCCATCATCCTATCCCCTGCTCCCAGGGTTTTTGATGTCTCATTTCATCTACCTAGTACCCTTGTCACAGGCATTTTTCTCCCCATTTCATGGATTGGGAAGCTGAGGCCCAGAGAAGCTAAGTGCCTCATGCTGGGTTGCAGGGAGTCAGCAGCAGAGCAGAGCTGGGACTAGGATTTATGTTAGGTCTCTTGACTCCCAGTCTGAGGTTCTCTCCACTGCCTTAGGGGACCCTTATTTCCTTCCCAGAGCCATTCCCTGAGGTTCTCTATCCTCTCACCTGAGGTTGAACGCATGTTTATTCATTCAAATAAGATGGAAATATTTTTAATCCCCAGAGGGGCAACCTCAGGGAGTGAAACCATTTCCCTCCAAGCTGGGACCAAGTCCTGGGTCCTGTGCAGCTCCCATATGACCAGAATTCCTTTTCTGCTTCCCAGGGAGGGATTCCTTCCCCTCCCTCCCCCCTCCCCCCCCCCATTTGATTGTTGAGGCTTCTGAACCAATGGTTGAGAGGTCAACCTGAGGGGTAAGGGGTTCTCAGACCAGGGTATAGTATGTGTGAAGTGAAATGGGGAAAATGGGCTCGTGGTGATGGTGCTTGGGTAGAACAAGGGATACTTAGAGACTGGATGGGTCTAAAACAGGGCTGTCCCTTCCAGGGAGCACAGACCTGGTTGTGGGAGAGAGTCAGGGAAAGGAAGTCACATACTGGCCAGAAAAAAAGTCCCCCATGGCCAAGAGGAAGTAGCCAATGAGAGGAGGAATCTTGCCATAGCAGTATAAATAATCACAGGGCTTCCGGAAGCTCTGCTCTGTCCCAGAATTCAGAAGTTCCTCTCCCCAAGGCCCTGTGAACTACAGGGGAGACCAGGGTATTGGCTGGAGCTGGGACTTCTCTCATACTTACCCCACTAGTAATTACAGCAGCCTGTTTATTTGGCACTTCCTATGTGCCACACCTCATGCCAAACACTTGCTTCACATTAGCTCATTTCATACTTTTGGCAATTCTAACACAATAGGCAAGATTGTTCCCATTTTACAGATGAGAAAATTGAGACTCAGGAAACTTAAATATGTTGCCCAAGATCAAACATGACTGGTTGGTGGAACTGAGATTAGAATCCCTGGCCAATCTGACTCCAGCATATATTCTCAGTGATAGTGCTTTAATGTCGCTATGTTTTCTACCCGAGTTTAAAAGCTTCTGAAATTTTTCAGAGGCACATGCCATGATCTTAGGAAAAGGACAGAGGAAATAAATGTTTTCCTCTTCCGTCCATTCCTCTTGTCTGGGCTTGGAGGATCTACCTCACCCCACCAAGAGCCTTGAGAGAAGATGCTAATGTCTGGGAGCCACAGCCTCTGCCTCATTCATCATCATTACACACCCAGATTCCAGACCAAATCCCAGCCCTGGCACAATCTCCAGTATTCTCCTGCACTGAGTTGCCAGATAGGGTTTGTTGTGCTTACAAGAATTATGGGGTCAGCTCTCCCTCCTTTTCCTCACCTCTCAGGCACCCTGGATTGAGATAGGGCAGCCGTCTAGAGAAGTGTGCTCCTTACTCAGCAGGTTTCTCATTGTGCCTTTTGGTTTGCACACAGTAGCCAAGGTGTCAGGCTTAAGAGTTAAAACATAGTGCACTGGGCAGAATAGGCCCTGAGTTGATAGAGACTCCACACTGCATCTCAGAGTGACCTGGGACAGCTGCTCTGTGCTAGAACCCCTCTCTAGTCTACTCAGTGGGAGGGGTCCCTGTCTGGTAGAGGATCTGGTAGATCCCTACACTTGTATACTGTCTTTTTGTGTTTATACTGCCTGGAGGAAAAGGAAAAAAGTAGCTAATGCTTAGTATGACCAAGGCACTGTTCTAAATGCCTTACATGTATTAATTTACATAATTCTTACAACAACCCAATGAGGTAGGTATTATTTTATCCTCATTTTACAGATAAGAAAACTGAAGCATAGAGAGGTTAAGTAATTTGTCCCGGGTCACACGTGTACAAATAGTAGAACCAAGACTTGACCTTATTCAGTTTGGTACCAGAACTTAGGTGCTTCACATAATACATAATGCCATCTTCCTTACACCTGAGTATCTTTGCTTGGTCTTAGGGCCTCTCTCTCACTGTGTATCTGCCTCTCTAACATCTGTCTTGATGGGATTGCAGGATGGTGTCAGGTTAAGAGAACAGGAACTGGTTTCCTTCTGTGTGTCCCCATTCTTCTTCCCAATGGGTAGAGGCCTCCATAACCATGAGTGTCCCTTTGATCTGTCCATAGGTCACTGCATCCAGAGGGGCCCAGAAGGGGAAGGAGGCATTGCCTCCACTGTAGCAGCTGCACCCACGATGCAGAGTATCAAGTGTGTGGTGGTGGGCGATGGGGCTGTGGGCAAGACGTGCCTGCTCATCTGCTACACGACTAATGCCTTCCCCAAGGAATACATCCCCACAGTGTTCGACAATTACAGTGCCCAGAGTGCGGTTGACGGGCGCACAGTGAACCTGAACCTGTGGGACACAGCGGGCCAGGAGGAGTATGACCGACTCCGCACACTCTCCTACCCTCAGACCAATGTCTTTGTCATCTGTTTCTCCATTGCCAGTCCGCCCTCCTACGAGAATGTGCGGCACAAGTGGCATCCGGAAGTGTGCCACCACTGCCCCGACGTGCCCATCCTCCTGGTGGGCACCAAGAAGGACCTGAGAGCCCAGCCTGACACCCTACGGCGCCTTAAGGAGCAGGGCCAGGCGCCCATCACACCGCAGCAGGGCCAGGCCTTGGCCAAGCAGATCCATGCTGTGCGCTACCTCGAGTGCTCAGCCCTGCAGCAGGACGGCGTCAAGGAAGTGTTTGCTGAGGCTGTCCGGGCTGTGCTCAACCCCACGCCCATCAAGCGTGGGCGGTCCTGCGTCCTCTTGTGACCCTGGCACTCAGCTTGGAGGCTGCCCCTGCCCCCCCACCAGTTGTGCCTTGGCGCCTTGTCTGCCCCCAGCTGTGCCTTAAGGACTAATTCTGGCACCCCTTGCCAGGGGGCTCCCTGAATGCCCTTTTCTCTGAATGCCTATTTCTCCTAAAGGAGGCCCACGGAGAAAGGGGCTTTGGGCCCTGCCCCACTCTGCTTGGGAACACCAGGTATTCCTGAGAGCTCACCCAGGCCAAGGTTGGACCCCTCCCCAAGAAGCCAACCCAGTGCCCCTGCCCCATTTTCCCTACTGACCAGTTGATCCAGCTTTCCACACAGATGTTGCTGCCTATTATGGTGCCTTCTCTCAGGTTAGGAGCTCTCAGCTGTCCCTAACCTTTCCCTGGCTGCTCTTCGAATTGCTCCCCCCCCAAGATGCTCTCTCCCTTTCCCAAAGAAGGAGCCATAGAATCCTGAGAAGATGAATGTGCCCTAACCTACCCCCATGTGCCCAGGCCTTATGCATCTGCTGACTGACTCAGTCCCCCTCCCTCCCCGGGCTCCTGGGGGCCTTTTCTACCCCCATCAGCATCAATAAAACCTCCTGTCTCCAGTGGCCCTGGCTCCTCCCTGTGTGCTGGGCATTGGGGGTTGGGCAGGGGATGGGCATGGGCTAGGGCTCCCCAGAGACTGGGAGCCTTTTGTTTCCTGTAAAAGGGGACAGGAGACAATAGGCTTCATTGTGGTTCCCCCCAGCCCCCAATTTCCCTAACAAAGCTCTGGGCTCCCTTGGAGGGGCCAGTCTTGCTCTGGGGCCCAGCCACAGATTCTATAGTGGACTGAGATGCAAAGCATTAAGAAAAACTTTGTGATCTGAGGCTCAGAAAGGGAAAAGTTGAGAACCATCAGCCTGCAGGCAGGTGCTCACAGTCCTGCACTTGAGAGCTGTTGCCTTACACCCGAAGGTGGCAGGTCTCACCGACAGAGCTGGGGCTAGAACTAAGGCCTGTGCCTCAACCCAAGACTCCCCCAGTTATCCCAGCTACCAAGCCTGGAGTCATTACAGGGATAGCTCAGTCACTCCTCCTCACCAGAATTGTGGCTTAGACCAGTCTTAAGACACTCCAGATCTAAGGTGGGAAGAGGGGGGATAGGGGGATACCACTTGGAATCATACCCTGTCATGGACTTTTTCCCTCCATCCTGGAGCCTGTCCCTCACCCCAGTTCCAATTAAAGAAAGACGAGTCCAAGCCCCAAGACAAGTAAGGCTAGCCCAGACTGTTGCCAAAAAAAAAAAAATTTATTTTCCTTTGAAATAAAATGTACAACCAAAAGAGGTCAGGGCATGGGGCAGCAGGGAGGACAGGGAGACAGCAGAGAGCCCATTTTGGGGCAGGAATCTGCCTCTAACTACCCTACACCTTTGCCAAGGAGGAAGAGTCGGTGAGCCATGGATTTCAGAAGGGAAGGAACAAATGCTGTGCCAGTGCTTTTCCTGGAGCAGGACATCCCTCAGGTATAGAACACTACCTCCACAAGGTAGTGTCAGAACCACACACTGGCAGAGCCCTTACAGATCCTACAGCCCTCCTACCCCCAACCACCTGCATGGACATACGAAGGCTTAGATGGGGAAGGGGTACACACTAAACAGGAGGTGAAGTCAGAGCTAGAACACCTGGGCAAACTTAGCAAGGGACTGTGGCACAGGCCTGGGCATGTGCAGGAGATAATCACATACACCAGTCAAGTGAATGACCCCATGGAGAGAAATGGCTGTGGTTTTCAGGTAGCAGCCACTGCTCAGTGGTCTCTGACCTCAGCAAGAGGTGGCTATGTAAAGGCCAAGAACCGATGGTGGTTATAAACCTCAGGACTTTTTTTAGCACCAGATGGTGGAGCTCTCCTAACAGCTCAGCTTCTTGGGGCCTCTCCGATAAGGGTGATGCTGCTTGAAGGTCCCTGTGCCTTCAAGTGGGGTGAGGGAAAAGAGAAGCCAGCAGGGCTACCTAAAACCCTGTCCTGTGCCCTTCTGCCCTTCCTCCCCCTCCCCCAGCTTCAGCACAGCCCACAGAGGACACAGGGTGGGGAAGGCCAGAGTGGTGTCTTGTTTCTAGTTTCTGGGCAGTGGACCGCCTCCTCCTTTCTAGTAGGAGAGAAAGGGTTTAGAATCGCTTTTCCTCAGGCTGGGAGGTAATGAGCAGCTCCTTGTTCCCGAAGTCCCACCAGGCTGTCATGTGGAACGCCATGTTGGTTAGGACAACGGTGTACTCCAGGATGGCGAAGATGGTGTATACTGTTGCAAGGGCACAAGAACAGAGCATGGTGAGACTCCCGCCCCTGCCCCCCAGGGGCCTCTTGATAAATCGCCACCACCACACATCTCTACAGAGACACACTGACAGTTAGCCCCCAAGGCCACTGCCATCTCGCACAGTATAGACAACATCATAACTGTCCCATAGCCACTGTGACCACATACGGATCCCAGCCTGGCCTCACCTCCAGCCTCACAATACATGTTGTGCCGAAAGTAGACAGCCAGTGCCGTGAAGAAGGAAATGAAGTTGATGACGAAAAGCCGCTGTTTCCAGTTGTAGGACTTGCGGTCCTAGAGGATGGGCTGTCTGATCACTCTGCAGCCTGTTGGATATGTGTGGGCAGCCTCCCCTCTTAGCCCCAACTCCTGAGGGCTGCATCTTACCTCCCTTGGTTTTGGAAGGGGGCACAGGCAAGGGCAGCAGGAATGATGGGCATGTTCATATTCCTGCGTTTGGGAGTATAATGAAGCCAAGGAGCAGTGCTGTCCCTGCCCCTCCCACTTCAGCAGGATGGAATATGAAAGTTACTCAGAGTCACCCCCCAATCTGACACCTCCACATACTGTGGGGAGAAGAAAGGTGTCTGGTGGGGGGGGGGGGAGGGGCACTGGAGTTATTACAGACCACAGACCCCTGACACAGTTCCTAACCCACTGCAGCCTGGGTGCTGTCCCTCATTCTACCATTTGGAGCCTCCATCTCTTCTATTTTCCAGTCTCCATTAGTACCCGAACACAGTCCTAGATTCTGACCAATCCATCACCCTCCACTCATCCCCAAGCCCCAGCCTCAGCCCGGATTCCCATTAGAACTCTGGTTCCCATCTCACCATTACCCGCATCCTGAGGACGGGTGTCCTTGATTTTCCCCTGGGCTGCTTAGAGCCCCACTAGGGGTAGACCGTACCTCCTGACTTACTGTGTGCTTCTTGGTCAGCCGCCAGAGAATGCAGGTGAGGAGCATGTGACTGAGGGAAGAGGCGATGAACACAATAAAAGCATTTTCGTGGATGGCTGGAGGGAGAGAGGAGGGTTGGGAGCGGGCACTACAGGAAGCATCCTAACCCCTCCCTCTGAAGGTCTGAGTGAGGGAGGGCGCAGGGGCGACCCTTCCCAACCCTTCCCCTGCTCCTCCTTCCCTCATGTGGACACCCACTGAAGTCCTCGGAAGAGGAGACGTAAGTGAGCACTAGCAGTGCGAGGTTCTCGACGACGTTGAGGCCAAAGTTGAGGCGGCAAAGCGGGCGGTAGCCAGGACACGGGGACGCGCAGCTGAGGTAGTGGTTCCAGTAGGCGAAGGCCACCAAGAAGCGGGGCGCTGAGTGCAGGCCGATGCAGAAGCGCCACACGTAGCGCTGGGGCACCTCCCCACCAATGGCCGAGCTCACCGAAGGCAGGTAGTTGGGCACCTAGAGAGTTGTGACCAGTCTGGTGGCAGGCCTCCACCAGCCCCACCCACCCACCTGGAGATCCTTCTCTCCATCTATCAAAATCACGCTGGCCCTCAGAAGGCTCCGCTCCAGCCCTTTCCTTTCCCGGAGGTCCTCCTTCAGGCACCTCGAGAGACAGCTCTCCTGGGAGACATCCCTTTCCAGGTCCCGGCCCCCAATGTGCTTGTTCTCATTCCCCAAGCAGCCTGGGGTTTGTGCAGGGACTTGGTTGGACCTTTTCCATCTCCCTATACATGGAACCTACATATGGCTGGGGAAGCTGTAGACAGGTTCAGATGCTCTCTGAGCCCATAGCACAGAGCTATGGGAGATTCCATGGCCCAGGACCCCAGATTCAGTCCTGAGGACAGGGATGAGTCACAGACCACCTGAGCTTCCGTGCTGGATTCACGGCCCACCTGAGCTGTTCTTGACTGCTCTCAGTTCTACTAACTCTTCTGGGCAGGTGTGCCAAGGTGGTAGAGGGTACTGTGAGATCCTGGGGGACCTGGGTCAGGAGGATACCCCCACCCTGATCATGCTTAAGAAAGTGGGTGCTCCTAACCTGGGGTAGTCTAAGAAAATGACCTATTCTTGTGCATCCCTCCCATTCATCTTTCTCAAAGCCTAGAATTCCTTATTCCTTCAGGAACTGGAGCACTATTCTTCACGGTTGAGGAAGGAGGAGGAGATAACACACAGCTGCGAGGACTGGTGTGTTGCTCGTGTGAGAGGGTGAGAGGATGAGGGAAGAACAGTCTAGATGGGGACAGGAAAGCCAGGGAGAGGAGGAGGATCTCTCAGACTCCAGGGTCTGGAGCAGTGCTTCTACCTTTAACATGCGTACAACTAACCAGGGATTGTGTGAGGATGTTGGGGGTCTGGAATCTGAGAATCTGCATTTCTAAAGGATTCCAGTACTGGAAGCTACCAGTCCGTGGCACTCGCTTTCTGTGGACTTTTTTAGACTGTCAGCAAGAACCAGAGCAGTGCCAGAGCCCAGGGACCCAGAGAAGGAATGACCGTGCTGTGACTATAGCAGGACCAGTCTTCAGAGATGGAGTTCTAGAAGATCCCCTCCTTTCTCCTAATGGTGATACTGATGGATCAATGCTGGGAACATAGGCAATGGTGGACGCAGCTCACAGGGCAGAGGTGGGCCTGGGGTAACGCCAGCCAGGGGCTTCGCAGCCTTCACAGAAAAGGAGATAGATTCCCCTCAGCACTACCAAAGGAAGCTAAGTGTAGAGCTCTCTGATAGGGTGCCGCTCCCAAGGCCATGGCTTGAGATACCATGTAGCTTGAGACCAGGCTCAGATACTCACTCTGAGTAATCAGTAAAGAGACAGCATGGAGGCTTTGGAGCCACACAAACCAGGGTCTGCATCCCATCTCTGCCTTTATTAACCTACTCAAGGTCACTTCACCTCTCTGAACTTTAATTTCCTTGTTGGCAAAATAGGGACACTACCACCTACCTTGCAGGATGATTGTGAATATTAAATATGATGTATGCAGAGCATCTGCAGTGTTTAGCACACAGCAGGTACGAGTTATGGCTTTCAGAAGACAAACTTCCCTGAAAAGCCTGCAAATAGCTGGTGAGCTATGTGGTTATTGAACATGGGAAGCCTGCATGGGAGTGACAGGCAAGAACTGTAACTTCAACAGAGACTTCTGAGCCCTCCAAGCCTCCTTACTTTTCTACCCCTCTGGGCAGGTCCCCTAAGTAAGGTTAGTGGGAGTGCTGCCTCTGTTTCCTAGAATATTCATTCTGAAAACTCCTGTCCCCATCCCAGCTACTTTAAGGAGAGCAGGACCAGCATGAGCTTTTTGTCTGTCTGTTTGTTTCCTCCAGCATGAGCTTTCTAAAGCTTGGCTGGGAGAGCCCAGAGCCCTAACTGATGCTGGGAAACAGGTAAATGGTAGAGATGGCAAAAATCTGGGAGGACACCACAGGAAGAAGGGAGATTTAGGGCCCTGTGGCTACTGGTGTCATCCTCATAAGCTCCTCTCAGATTAGGGGTGGAGATAGGATGCTGAGAGCAGGGATTTCCTCTTACCCCCACCCACACACACAAATATACATGCACGCATGCACACACATGCATAATCAGTATAGATATTCATTTATGTTCCCCCATCCCAAGCACACAAGTTCTCCACTCACCAACTATGCCAGCAACATCAGGAGCTATCAGAGACCAGGTGCCCAGCTCACCCCAAATCTCCCCATGAGCTCAGAGCTAAGGGTACTGAAGTGGGGACATAACCCCTTTCCCCAAGAACAGAAACCCTCTACATCCTAGAGGATGTGGCTCAGTGGACCTGTGGCAGGGCGGTAGATCAGAAAGTCACATGGTATAAAGGGTGAAGGTCCAAAAAATTCCCTATCAAAGCACCTCAGATTTCACCAATTGAGATTCATTTCTTTGATAAAAGTCCCCCAAACTTACGGATGACTTTGCTATCTACTGCCCCCATCCCTTGCCAACTGAACAAGACCTCCCATTCCTATCAATTCAACCTGCTACTCTTCTCTGGACTCCATCCCTGCCTCTCTACTTTCATAGTCCCTATTTTAGCTCTGGTCTTCCCAGTAACATGATCTATTTGCACTAGCCTCCTCACTTATCTCCCTACTCTTGCCCCCTGCCCTTAAATCTGTTCTCCACTCAGGAGCCAGAATGATCTTCTAAAGCATAAATCTGATCGTGTCCCTTTCCTGCTTAAAATCTTTCCAAAGCTCACCACTGCCCTCTGGATAAAATCAAAAGTTGTCAGCCTGGCATTCACAAAGATCCTTCTTTACCCCCATAGCAGAAATGCCCCCTGGTCCAGGAAGGAAGTCTTCCCCAACACCTAGGCTGGATTAAGTGCTTCTTCTGGGCCCTGTGATCCCTATGCTCCCCTTCATTCCTTATGTTCCCCTTTATCACAATAGGAGTCCCATTTCACTGTGCTGTGACTGTCTGTGTCTAGGACTGTGTCATGTAAGATGAGAGGCTAAGGGCAAGTCCATGTTCAGTTCCATCCTTCTGACACAGAACCTCCACCCCTAGGCCCTCAGGAAAGGCCTGGTGGACTGCTCTTGGAGGCAGGGAGCCCATCTGGGTTTCTAGCTGGCAGAGTCCTGAGTGGACACAGGTTAGGGGGCCCAAGGCTGCCAGGGGAGAAACCAAGCCTGAATATTCCAGGGCAGGGCTGGGGGTGTTCTCAGGCCATGTCCCCAGTCTGGGTTAAAGCCACTTATGACCTCTCCTGGCTCCTGGCCCAGTCTAACTCCCCAGTCCTGGCTTCCTTTCCAGTCTGGTCTTTCTTCAGCTTCCTCCTCCCTCTCATGACCTCTCTTGCCTACTGCCCTCCCTTCCCTTCCCCTTTCCCCTCTGCTCCCTGGCACTCTCTGTAATCTTCTACTCTCGGAAGACTGTGACTCCACTCTCCCTGAGTCTCTCCCCACAAATTCCCACAACTCTGACTTGCCCCCCACCATCCCTTTATCCCTTTCCCCTTTCTCTGACCCCCCGCCTTCTCTCTTACTCTCTGATTCCACTCTTACTGCCATCTCCTGACCTGGCCCTGACCCAGGTGCGGGGGAGCCTGGCACTCACCCCACAGTCAGTGGCCACCGTGTACTCAAAGTGGAACACCAGGGACCAGATGATGCAGAAGAAGAAGCCGAACATGGGGAAAGTGATGACCCACCAGATCATGGCCGTGAAGCGGAGCCGGAACACAGTCCCATCTGGATCCAAGGGCTGGGAGGCCGCAGAGAACATCCTGTAGGGAGTGGTGCCCAGGCAGGGCGAGGGACACAACTTGGGGCCTGGTGGGACACCTGGGCCTCGGGAAGTGGAGCCTTTTCCAGAGCTGGCTCCCTCTATAGGGAAGAGCCAGAGTAGAAAGAGCATAAAGGGAAATGGAAAGCAGTGCAGAAGGTAAGGAGGTACAGAGAGAGATGGGGCGGGAGCAGCTGAGTCAGGCAGGGTCAGCTCTTAGGAATCCCTTTGGCACAATGGTCCTATAGGTCCACCTCTTAAAGAACCTGGAGAATAGAGGCTCCCAGTGGCCTGGACATGGGAGTTTGATGGGCCACTTCAATCTCAAGACTCTCACACCCAACTCAGAAGGATCAGAGGTAGAAAGGTTATTACTTCTGTTCCATAGAACATTAGGACTAAGATTTTAGCCACTTGACAGATTAAAGCTCCCAAGTCAAGGCTTTCTTCAGGTCACATAACCTAGACAAAGGACCCTTGGCTCAGACTGGTCCAAGCCCTCCCACTGACCCTGTCTGACCACATTCCTCCTCTTCACCCAAGTTCAACCAGGAACAGTGGGAGTGCCCAGAACCTATTTCAATGGGACCACAGGCTGCCAACCAGCCCACCCCCAGGCTCAGAATGATCCAAGCCTCAGGTCAACAGTACCATCATCTCAAGATACCAGGGTCCCTGCAGAGGCTTCTCCTTCCTCTCTAAGAAGACCATGTCACCCAATCCAAAGTTTATGGGAATCTGAGGGTCACGGGAACCTTCTCCACTCAGCTTGAGCCTATTGTGCTGGGCCAGACCCAGCAAGGACAGACCCAAACCAAGGGAGCTAGCTTCTTCCACTCCCTTCTCCTGCTAGGCAGAGAAGTCCCTCTTCCCACCCCTGACTGCCCCAACTACCATGACTTGTGAGATGGGTTCCCTTCTGGGGGGCAGACAGAAAGGCTTTGTATTCAAACGCCTAGGACCAAACATCCCTTGGGACTCATACCACCCACGATTAAGGGAGCCCTAGTTCACTAGTCCAGCTCAGCATCAAGGAAATGGGGGAGGGGGCGCGAACTGAGCAACACTCACACTGGGTGCTGAAGGATCCGGGGCTTGGGTTGAGAGTTCTAGCCAGACTGAAACTATTCTAAGACTGGAGGGTCCCACCCCTAGCTCTCCAGGGCCTGCCCTCCCGCCCACAGAGCTCAGATCTCCACGCCTGCCCAAGCACACAGCCCTCCCAGGACAAACAAGACCATATCATAAACCCTGGAACACTCTGCAAAGGTAAGAGTGATAGTGGCTAAAGTCAGCCCACAACAGCTTCCTTGTCATGGATGGGGGTGGGGACCCTTTTGAGAGTTGTATCCTGGGATCCAGGCAGTTTTCAGGGAAAGAAAAGGGAGAAAGCAAAATAGGATTTCACCCCTTTCTGTTGAAGCAGGAGTATGTCTGTTGGGCCTCATTGGAGAGCTAGCTAATCTTAGAACAATACATTCAGGATCCAAGACAGATCTGGACGGGCCTAAATATGAGGTTATCAGTGTCCAGTCTGGACCTGTGCAGAAACAGCTAACTCAGCTCAAGATGCCTTAATAGGGGTCTAACAGCCAGTAATAGGAATGCAACGGTACTACTTTTCTCTGTGCTACCCAGGCCATATGAAGACCTATGCCCAGATCAGGGCCTCATATGAAGAGAATAGTGACCGACTGGGCCAAGTCTAGGGGCGCACGTCCTGTGAGGGTTGCCTGAAAGAACTGGAAATATGCTACCTAATAAGACTAAACTCGGGGACCCCTACCCCCATTACTGCCATCCCACCTCTGTAGGGCTGGCTTGATGCCAGGAGGAGAGAGAGTAGCTCTCAGGCTCCCAAAGCAGAGCCAGTGCAAAGGCAAAGATTCACCAAAAAGAGAATGTCATGTCCACTACAAGAAAGAGCTTGCTAATTGTTAGTTACTAAGCTTCCTTAGAATAGGCTGCCTGGAGAGGAAGGAAGCTCCCCATCACTGGAGATATGCAAGCAAACACAGAGTCATCTAAATTACAGATGTGTTAGAGTAAGGTTACTTTTTTTTATTCCTAGGGTTGGCCATTTCTAGAATACTCCAGGTGAGAAATTCAGAGCATATATATTCACCTGGGCTGCCCCAAGGTGGCTCCAACATGGTAGTCCCAGAGAGTGGGGACAAAATACCACCTGGGTCCCTAAGCTCAGTCCTGCCCCAGAGTGGTCAGGTATCCCTCCTGCAACTACCTATGCCTTAGGATCCCTAACTAGTATGTCAAGAATGGGTTATAGGTATGCCAGATATGCTGGCTTACTGATCCCATTAGCCCTCAGGAGCCAGCCATGAGGGGCAAAGCAAACAGCCTATTCCATTTAATTCCATATGCCTTACAAATATAATTTTCTGCATGGACTAAGACTTGGTCTCAGGCTTCCTTTTCAAAGGGCACTGGGCTGATGCAGGGGGGAGGGGGTCCTATTCATTTATTCAACCAATTCTTCCTGATTCAGATGTAGTGCCCACCTTGAAGAAGCTCCTGGTCTGATGGGGAACAGAGATACAAATATGATATGATAGAACTGTATGAAAGATAAAACAGGGAACTGTGGGCACCCAGAGGAGAGAGTGATTAAGTCTTCCCCAAGGAGGCTAGGGAACATTTTTCAAAGGAGGAGACATTTGAGAAGGGTTTTGCAGGATACAAAGGAGTTGACCAGGTGAGAGAAACATTTGATGCATTATCTAAGGTGAAAACTTGGTCAAGAAAAGCCATTGTTTGGATCCTTTTCGATCCTCCCCCTCAAGATCACCTGGTCAGCCCCTTTTTGTCCAGTCCTATTCTTTCTGATAGCTCCCAGCCCTGGGTCTCATAAGACTGGCTGCCTACCGCTCAAGGCCAACATCTACCCATCGATAAAGCAAGGAGAGAGAAAACTTCCAGTCATAAGAACAAAAGAAGTAGGCCCCACTCCATACTGCCATTCAGACCCCACTTCTAATCATAGTCCTATTTCTGGAGCAAATGCTCTTTATAGGGAGGCAGGAAGCTGAGCTGATTGGGGGCTTTCAGAGCTCTCTCTGATGCTCTTCCAAGGGTCCATGTCCAGGCCCTGCCTCCTTTCCACCTAGAGCCCATGGGCTCTTCCTCTCCTGCCCTGCCTTCCAACCTTACAATCTCTTTTCCTCCTACTCCTTCTGCTCCTCACCCTTCACACTTCCCAAACCACCTTCCTATCCTTCCCCTATCTGGAGCTCTACACTACTCCTGAGAAGGAGGATGGGAATTGCCAACCCCATTTTAAGACATGGGAAGCTGAGGCTCAGTCTCTGTGTCTCAGGTAATACAGAGTCAGTGGATGAAATTAGGAGTGTAACAGAGGTCAACACAGGTCTGACCCTCTTTACCCCGAAACATTACAGAGGAAACTCACATCTTTCCTCCTGGCCCAGCACACCATATCCCTGCTCAGAGGGCACATGCCTACCTGGGGAACATAGGCCATGAACACATATATACACACATCATCAGGCCCCCATCCAGACACACACAGATATGGTCTCTCCCAGACACATACAGCCACGTCCCTTACAGTCACACAGATGCATACATAATCACATTCTCACAGAGACAGGCACAGCCCACAGTGCCACACTAAGAGGCCCCAGCACCCTCTAGCCCAGTCCTGTTCTCTCTCCATCCCCCACGAAACCCGGGGGCTCTTGAATCTGCCCCTCTATGAAGTAAGGATTGAATTCTGGGGCTGCCCAATTTCAATGACTCCAGGCCCTAATGACCTCCATGGAAAGTGGCAGAAGGCTAATTCCTGAGACCTCAATTTGCAGGTACCCAGCAACCCAGTTTGTCTGATGGACCTCATTGGAGAGCTCACTAATCCTGTTACAACAGAATCAGGATCCAAAATCGATCCAATTGGACCTGAATATGAGATATTCCTTGACCCCCCCCCCCCTTCGCAAGCCCTACCCCACAGTGTGTGGCCGTAGTCTCCTTGAAGTGGAAGAGCAGGGACCAGAGGATGCAGAAGAGGAAGGCGACAAGTGGACAGCAGACTGTGACCAGGGCCACCAGGGTGAAGCGGAGGCGGACCAGGGTCCCATCCCGGTCCAGTGGCAGTGGGACCTGGTACATCTTGTCAGACCTGGGGATGGAGTAGTATGCTGTCAAGGCCCAAGGCAGCAAGGCTGGGACTCTGTGGTAAAGCCAGCCCTTGTGCTGAGTCCTCAGCTTAGCTGAGCCATGGGATGGAGGGTCTGAGAAGAAAGCCATCTAGCCCCTAAACTTGGACAGTTCCTGCCCTGGATGGGGACGATTGACTCAGAATCCCAAGAGGACATTCACCCTCAATTTCAGAGGAAAGACAATGAAGCAAATCTGTGCTAAAATGAAGCCTGAATAGATTGGGAGAGTTTCTTCTCCCCTATACCTGGCTTTACAGGTCTATGACAACAGGAGCTGGTTTAACTGGTCTCTCTTGTTTCAGGAACCAACCCTAAAACCTCCCAGTGAACAGAATAGTCCACCTTCTTTCACAGGCCTTTGAGCCTCTAGACTTCAGTTCTCCCTGCTTCACCCACTGGCCCAGGGCCTTCTGTACCTTCGGTCCCTTCCCAGGCTCTGTGTGTCTGCACCACAGTGCACAGCAGCAAGGGCTCCATGGAAGCCAGTAGAACCCTGACCCCCTGCTCGTCCCCACCTGCTGCCTCATGTGCTCTGAGGATGAAAGGCTTTGCAGAATCAGGCCTGGTGCTAGCCTGGGCTTGCTGTTTGCTGGAAAGAGCTGCCTGGTCAGCTTCTGGAGGCTTCCCAGAACCCATGGGGCCTGTCCATCCCCCTCCAGATATGAAGTAAAAGCTCCTGAGAACTGTTGACTCCCTGCTGAGATGAGGATACTAAGGTTAAGAACTATAATAACCAGGTATACACCAGCAATCCTAGCCCAGCCTCCCTAAGTGCACAGAGGGGAAATTGAGGCTAAGAGAGGAACAAGAACCTGCTCAGGGTCGCACAACAACTAGAAGGGAGAGCCAGCAGTGGGGAGATGTAGGGCCCACAGGGTCACAAACTGCAGCCCCAGCCTTCTTTGACCCCTTCGTCTCTGGGACAGACCTCTGGGTAGAAAGGTCAGGTTAGATCAGATTAGGAGGGGAGAGAGAAGGGGCACCTGTCATTAGAGAAAGAAAGGTAAATCAAATCCTATATAGATGAGTCAGTGAATCCTGTCCCCATTGCAAAGGCAGAGAAACCAAGATGCAGAGAGAGAAAGGCCCTTCCTCAAAGCCAGATGCTGAGCCTGACAGAAAGCCATCCTTGGAACTTAGGCTTCTTGTGGCCAAACTAGGGCTGGCTCCAGATTCATAAAGAACCCGCCCTTATGGACTCAAAGGTCTTGCCAGATCAAGTCCCAACTCTTCCTGGCCCCACCCTCAGGAAGAACCTGAAGCTAACCTCCTAGCATTCCAGAACCAGGTGAATACGCCTCTGTGTTCTCCTCCATCTTCCCCCACCCGCCTCTCTTCCAGGCCTGATTAGTCAGCCTGCCCCAGTAGCCCAACTTCTTTTCTGCCTTCAGGAGCCAGGGATCTCCCAGAGGAATTGGAATTGGAGCTGGTGCCCCTCCCAAATTGAACACATTTCTTGGATCATCCCCAAATGGACTATAAGTCCCTAGAGACCCTAGAAGGGGAAGGACTTCCCCACCCAGCCCAAACCCTGATTTGGTGCTTGTAGCAGCACTAGTCCCCTCTCTGAAGCCAGTGGCTTTAGAAGCCTCGGGAACCACTGGGATGCCCAAACTGAAGAACAGATCCTCAGGGAATGAATAGGCACTGCTTGAGGCAGGGGGTGGGTAAAGAAGTTGGAGGAACAATCTGTTCCACTGCTTGGAGGTATGCCTGGCTCCTCTTTTAGCTGTGTGACCTTGGGCAAGTCATCTAACCACTCTGGGTCTTTTTCCACAGTTGTGCAACATGAAGATCATGTGGTTTAGATTACTAATATGGCCATTCCAACATGGTCATTTTACTTCTCCAGGCCTCAGGACAGGGAGCTCACTACCTAAAGAGCAGCTCTTCAGTCCCAGTCATCTCTAACTTCTTCATACGTACTACTTAGCTGGAAACTGCTTTCTTAGGAGTACCCCTACCTTATCTCCAAAGGTCCCAGAGATCTTCTCAGCCTCCAGCCAGAATCCATACTTACTGGGTACCTTCTGAGTATGAGGCACCCTGCTTAGTGCTCCACATACATTGTTTCTTTTAACCCTCACTATAATTCTACGAGGCAGGCCCTATATAGCCTGTGTATTTCCATTTTACAGAACAGGAAACTGAGGCTCAAGGAGGTTAAAAACACTTGCCCAAGGTCACAGGCTAATAAATGGAAGAGGTGTAATTTGAAATTACTCTATCGGGTTCCAGAGACGCCCAACACCTACATCCCTGGCACCTAAAGAGAAATCCCCATCAGCAGACCCTGGAGAATGAAGGAGAGCTCAACCAGTGCACAGCCAGCACCATGTGGGAGAGCAGTAGGGGTAAAGGGTTAGTTCAGAAGTCGGGACAGCAGCAGATCCTGGGCAAGCACCAGCACCTTGGGGCTGGGCGGTGAGAAAGCTGGACCTCGTGGCGGAGCTCCCCCAAGTGGGGTTGCCCCGCGATCCGTCACACCCATCCCCATACTCACCCAGGCTGTGGCGGCGAGGAGGCCGCGCCGGCGCAGGCCGGGCGCTGGGGGAACCCGAGGGGAGCCCAGGCCCGGCCTGGGGCAAGCGGCCGGGGGCGGGCCGGAGCGGGAACGGCGGGGGCGGGGCCAGCGCGCTTGGGGAGGAAACTGCGCCCAGATCCTCCATTGGCCCCTCCCCACTTCTGCGGACCTGGACCCTTGGCTCTCCGCCTTGATCCGGTGTCCCCTTGTGCCATGCCTCTCTAGCTCTGGTCTGTCCCACTAATTCCTGTTGCGTGGGGGCAGCCGGAAGAGCCCTGGACCCCTGGGTTTGACACGTTGGATAAGCCACCTTGTCACCTTACCTCTCAGCGGCGTTCCATCACCTGTTGAAAGAACATAAAATTGGTTCAACAAGCCCCGAATTCTCTAATTTTCTAGTCTCGGTGTCTCCTGCCCACGTCCCCATTCTAGCCGAATTATCCGGCCTCGCCCTTCTGAAACATTAAAACAGTTTTGCCCCAGCCTCAGCGCCCCTCCCCCTAACTTTGCTCCCCATAGCCGATTCCCGGCATTCAGCAAAGGGAAGAGCACGTTATAGGTAGAGAGATCAGGGAGGCCCACCCCAAAAACTCGGGGCCAGAGCTGTTCCCGGCTTTGATCAGGAGAGGGCGCCCTGTCCTGACATAACAGAGCAAGGCTCTCCTTTCCCCAGTCCTGGGTCTGCCCCACCACGAGAGGGTTGATCCGCAGAAACCAACCCAGCCCACAGGGTTCCCTCCCCACCCAGACTGACCCCTGAAGGAACCCGAGGAAGATTCTTGGGGTTGTCAGAGCACCTGCAGGGGGTGAAGACCTCTGACCTAGACGTAGTTACCATCACAGTTTTCCTAGTCATATATCCCCACAGTAATAGCACATTTTGAGCACCCTCTGTTTTCCAGGCACTTTTCTATTTTTTATGCATTATCCCATTTGATCCTTATAAAAACTCCATGAGATGGATACTATTAACATCCCTGTTTTAGAAAAGGTATGTTACCTATTCACACAGCTATAAATGTCAGAAACAGGATTGGAGTCCCGCACCTGAGGTCATTCCCTTAATCCCTCCCTATATAGTTGACCCTGGAACAACCCGGGTTTGAACAGCACGTGTCCACTTACACGTGGATTTTTTGATACAGCACAGTACTATAAATGTATATTTTCTCCCTTATGGTTTTAAGAAAAAAAAAATTGTTTTTTAAAGTAGGCTCCACACCCAATGTGGGGCTCCAACTCACAACCCCAAGATCGAGTCACATGCTCTACCAACCGAGCCAGCCAAGTGCCCCCTCTTCCTTATGATTTTCTTAATAACATTTTCTTTTCTCTAGCTTACTTTATTGTAAGAATATGTCATATAAAACATATACAAAGCATGTGTTAATCAATAGTTTGTTATCGGTAAAGCTTCCAGTCAACAGTAGGGTATTTGTAGTTGTTTTGGGGAGTCAAAAATTATACATGGAGTTTTTACTGTGTGGGGGCGGGGGGGGGTCAGCACCCCTAACCCCTGCATTGTTCAAGAGTCAACTGTATAATGTTAATCCCACAAGGTAGCTACACTCACCATTTTGCAGGTGGATACAGAGGCTCAAATTTGATTAACTTACCAGAGATCTTTTTCATGTATTCATTCTTGTTCATTCACTCAGCCTAGCCCTTTCTGTGGCAGGCCCTGACTGGGCAATGGTGGCAGACCCAGAGATAACTCACTCCTGGAGGCTCCAAGTCTGGCGGGACAATGTCCTATTCTAGTGACTTTGAACTCCTCTCCACCCTGTGCTTTAGGGTCCCAGGGAAAATGAACAATTAGTAAAACTGTACTAAAAGAACCACCTCCTTTTAGTTTCAACGATTAGATGTAGGTTTTCTACTTCAGGGCTTTGTGTCATCTTCTTTGTCTACCTCCAACATACAGATGCTTGCTCCTGGCCTTTATTCCCTGTCTTTATTCCCTGACCCTATTCCTTGTCTGTTCCTTTGGCCCTAAATACCATTCCTTGAGGCTGGGTCCCTTCTCTGTGCCTCTAGACTACCCCCAATGCCTGAAACTTGAGGTGCATTAATCTTGCCATTAATTCTTTGGTGATTTGGGCAATTCACCATACAGTCCTGAATCTCAGTTTCCTCATCTGTAAAATGGTTTTAGGAATATCCACAGCACAAGGTTGTCCTGGGGATTAAGTGAGGTAAAACAGCAGTGTGCCAGGTATGCAGGTCTTGAGATACTCAAGACACCCTGGCTATTGTGATGAGATGTGGAAGCTATGGTCTGAACTTGTCCTGACTGAGCCTTTTCTTTTCTTTTTTTAATTTATTTTTTAACATTTATTCATTTTTGAGAGTGAGACAGAGCATGAGCAGGGGAGGGGCAGAGAGGGAGACACAGAATCCAAAGCAGGCTCCAGGCTCCAAGCCATCCACACAGAG